CTGCTTTACTTGGCGATCTCATCAGCTCCCATGAATTTAATTGCCATTTCTATGCTGAGGATTTTCAGATCTACCTATCCAGCCCTAACCTCTAAGCTGACCTCCAATCTTGGATCTCCAACTGCCTTTCAGACATCTCAAACTGAATGTCTAGTAGAAATCTTAAATTCAACATGTCCAAAAACATACTCATCTTTTCCCCAAACCCTTCCCAATTTCCTCCTAATTTCAATATTACTATTGAGGGCACCACCAATTTCCTCAGGCTCTGGATATCATCCTTGATTCCTCACTATCTCTCATCCCTCATATCCAATCTATTTCAAAGGCCTGGCAATTTCACATCTGCAACATCTCCCATACACATCCCCTTCTCTCCATTGTCACTACTCTAGCGCAGGCCCTCATCATGTCAAGCCTGGACTACTCCAATAGCCTATTGGTGGGTCTGCTTGCCTCAAGTTTCTCCCCATTCCAATCCATTCTTCATTCAGCCACTAAAGTGATTTTCCTAAAGCACAAGTTTAATCATGTCACCCCCTACTCAACAAATTTCAGTGGTTTCCTATTGCTTTCAGGATCAAATATAAAATTGTTTGACATTCAAAGCTCTTTATTACCTAACCCCCCCTCATCTTTCCAGTCTTCTTATAGCCTACTCCCCAACATATTCTTCAATCCAGTGATGATGGGCTGTTCTGCAAATGAGACACTCCATCTTTCAGCTCTGGGCATTTTCTCTGGCTTTCCCCATGCCTGGAATGTTCTCCCTCTTCATCTCTGCCTGTCTTCCTTGGCTGCCTTTAAGTCCTAACTAAAATCCTGTCTTCTAAAGGAATTCTCTCCCAACTTTTCTTAATTCTAGTGCCTTCCCTCTCATTTTCCATCCTGCACATAGATTGTTTTTACATGTTTTCTTCTTGTTCTTCCCTACTTCCTCCCAGTAGACCGTGAGCTCCTTAAGGGCTGGGATTATCTTTTGCCTCTCTTTTTATCTTCAGCATTTAGTTAAGTAGGCATTTAAAAGATGTTATTTAAAAAACAGGAATAACACAGTGACATAAACTTATGGACTTCCACACACAATATGAAGAAAAAGGAACCTAAAGAGGAATAATCTCAAGTATTAAAGGTTTAAGAACTAAGGACTATGAAAAACTATAATAAATGGGCTTATTGAGGTGGTTAGGCTTGGATGATCTCTGATTTCCCAGCTCTAATTCCTATGAACCTGGAGAAAAGTTCATGGTCTGGTCATAATGAAACCTAAGTTATATAATGGGATATTATAATACTAAAACAATGAACAGTTAGGGATAGTCACTATATTCACTAGAAAAGGCAAAAAGGAATAGATTTCAACTACAGAAAGATTGGATTTAAATTGGGCATTACTAACTTTCTACTTGTGGGAGATATGGGAGCCAATGGAGTGCATAATAGGCTCTTAAAATCCTTTTGAATTTTTTTTAAAAAGCTTTTTATAAGATGGTAGAAACGCAATCCTGCCAAAAGGCTGGGAGAACACTAAAATGACAATCCATCAACAACCCACAAGGCATCATAGTAAAATGGATATGGTGTGCTGGATATGGTCACTCAAATTCATGGAGCCTCAGTTTCCTACTGCAAAATGGTATACTTATAGTACCCACCTCACAGTATTATGATGAAACTCAAATAACATGTAAAGTGCTTTGCAAAATCTAATGGCACTATACAAATGTCCATTTTTTTTAACTCTGTGATTATGTCTTATGAAATGAACTGGGAAGAAGGGAGACTCTGAAAAGAGAACAGTCTACCTCCTTCCATGAATGGAATTGTTCTTTTTAATCCAAAGCTAAGGTTTCTAAAAGTAGGTAGAAGATATGAAGCACTTTTTCCAATACTAACCTATTAGCATCCCATAGCTCTCTCCATCACTAAGAAAAAAACACAAGAAATAACCTTGAAATTCTATTGGGGATAGAAGAGCTCACAATATTTACTTCTGGCCTTTAAAACACGGGCACATTTTTAATATTTGATTATAGTTAAAACTTCTTCAAAGATTCGGTATTATTTAACATAATAGTAAACCTTTTATTCAAAAGGCTACTTAATACAAGTTAATCTGTAGGGATTACTGACTTTATAGAAGTCTATGATATATATGGGAGGTATTTATCTAAAATTTACTAGCTGGGCATTTTCTATTAAACTCTGCTTACAGATTTTGTAGCTTTCTAGAAAACAATATTCCCTCTGCAGCTAACTCTACCCATCCCATCCTGATTCTTCCAGGTCTATAAAAAACAATAAATCCACAATTCATCTTTTCACCCAAGCACTTTGCAATTATTACCAATACTGTTAATAACTTTTATCATTTTTTTCATCATATAATAACCCTGTCATGCTGGACTCACCTTAGCTCCTTTTTTGACAAAATTAACAAAAATGGCAGATTGAGGGCAATGGTGTAATTATAATTTACCTGTATTTTAACAAAATACTAAATAACTGTAAATACAACTGGTTGAATGTCAGGACTCCAACAGTAGTCACTAGTAGTTAGATGTCAACTTAGATGTCTCTAGAGCAGCAATTCTCAAATTTCTCTTGAAAACTAAGGATCCCCCTGCTCAAAGAGTCTGTTGTTATGTGGCTTACATTTATTGATATTTACCGTATTAGAAATTAAAATGCCTCAGAATTATTATGGAAATAGTTCTGACCTGAAAGACCTTGTGGAAGGGTCTCAGGGGATCCCTGGCTCACACATTGAGAACCACTGCTCTAGAAGAGGGCCCTGGGAACTGTGGTTGGTCCTGTATTGTTTATTAATGTTTTCATCAATGCCTTGGAGATAAACATAGATGGCATGCTAATCAAATTTTCAAAATGGCACAAAGGTGGGAGAAACAGCTAACACATTAGATGACAGAATCTAGATTCAAGACCATATCAGTAAGGTAGACACTGGATCAAATCTAGTAAGAAGAAATGTGATAGGGAATAGTGAAAATGTCTTACATTTGGTTGAAAAAAAAATCAACTCCCAAAAGTACATGCTAGACAGTAATACTTATGAAAAAATATCAAGGGATTTTAGTGGATTACCAGCTCAATATGAGTTAATGGTATCACTTGGCAGTTAAGAGCAAATGCAATCTTGGGCTGTGATGAGAGGCCTAACATTGAAGAATCAGATGATAGTTCTTGTACTCAGACCTAGTCAGGTCATATCTGGAGTATTTTGTGTAAGTTCTGGGTACCACACTGATCATCTGGATAGTGACCAACCCTTGTTGGTGAAGAGCTTTGAGTTTTTGCCATGTGAGAAGCAGGTGAAAGAGTCAGGAGTATGCAGGCTAGAAAAGAGAAGACTCACAAAAAAAAATAATGATAGACCCTTTAAAGTATGTGAAGAGCTAACATGTAGAAAAGAGATTTGACTTGCTTTGCTTGACCTCAGAGCGAAGAAATGGAAGCACTGGGTAGAAACTGCGAAGAGGCAAATTGGGACTTGACGTAAGGGAAAAATTCCTAACAATTAGATATACTGGAAAAGGAACGGGTTTGTCTCAAGAGGTAGTGGGTTTCACTCTCCTGACATCTTCAAGAACATACCCTTGTCAGGGATGTTGCAGAAGGTATCTTTTTTCAGGTATAACTGGACCAGATTGCCTCTGACCTCCCTTCCAATTCTGAAATTCTGTGATACATTGTTATTAAAGTTCTTAGTCTGTAACTATAGAACCTTGTTCTATACTTCTGTGCTATGTTAGTCAATTTTTTTAAATTACAGAAGTTACTTTAATTTAGAATTTCAAACAAATCAAGTTGTAATATAACAAACCATTTTATTTACATAAAGCAAAGAAATAAACCCTTTAACAAGAAAATCAGCTTACCTTGATGAAGGTGTACTGACACTTTAGTGCAAGGTTACATGCCACAATTACTAAAGTTGTATGTTCTGGGTTGTTACCAAACAAATACTTTCACTTTCATATACAAAAAGTATTTTTTTTAATAAAAAGGAATCTCTAGTGCAGTCAACTTATTTCACTGTTCTGCAGCCTAACACGTAATATTGATACCCTAGTTAATGTCACTGATACATGTTCATGCACCTCCTGATTCTATTTTCAAAATGTTTAAGTCAGTGCTCACAACTAAACCTGATTCCCTATTAACTTAAGGGCTTCAGAATTTTAGGGGCAGCTTTTGTGCTCTTTGTTTCATATTTTCATTTCTGAAGAGGAATTATATTTTTATTACAGAAATAATCAAGCCATATGGTCACAATAAAGACCAATATACCCTCTTGTAGAAATTTTTGCTTACTTTTGATTCTGACTCATTTTTTACTTTGATTTTCACTTACTTTTTAAGATTTACAATCTTATAATGACTGTAATAAAGATTATCCTATGAGGACATGAGAGTAGAATCACTCTCCTGGAGAGTTTCTGATCACATTTACAATCTTATAACAAATGCAATAAAGACCATGTTACAAGGACATGATAGCAGAAAACTCTCCTGGAGAGACTTTTTAAAAACACATTCCAATCCTTAATGATTGTAAAAAAAGAAAAAAAGATACATTAGAAGAATTACTCTCCTGGAGAGATTTTTGGACAAATTTACAAACCAGTAATTAACTGCAGTTGTGATTTTTTTTTTTAAGTAAAGTTCTATGAAAAATATGAGGATAGAGAAGAGCAATGAGCAACATAACAGAAAAGCAAGAAAAGTTCTAGAATGGAAAACCATGTACATAACAGTTAAGTTTTTAAATAGTATCTGACAGAAGATACAGCATGAAGATTTAACAGAAAGCACTAGACCCACAAAGCATGTGGAATATAAATACTGAACACCATTTTTTAAAATGTCTTATTAATAGTTTTATGTATGTTTCAAATATCACATTGTTTCATTGAATCAGATGCTTCCTGAATTTTGGATTGTTACTGGAAATGAATGAATTTTCTAAAATAATTCCCTTATGAAAAATAATTTTATAATTATTGTGGTTTGGTATACAGAATTTCAGCAACAGTTAGTCATCTACAAAAGTTAAACGCCCAGGTCCCTCATTCTTCATCCACCTCCTGTATCTCTTCCATCGAGAGTCATTTGCCTTTTTCTTCTTTAGCTCTTCCTCTTGTTCCTGTTTGTAGGCCTGCAAAGACATACACAATATGAACACTGGGACAGTATGAAGGGACCTCCCTAATCACAAATTACTATTACTATTACACCAGTTTGCTAACTCAAAACTCTCTGATGTATCTATCAACATTTTGATATGAGTACCTCCTCCACCAGTTCCCATTACAACCCTCCCACACTTCTTTTGTATTTCTGACCATTTCATGGAGCCAAGAAAACTAATAAACCGTAGGCCTACATGGCTCCCACCCTGAGGTAGCCTAGTTTTCAAAGAGCAGAGGAAAGGCTGGTAATGGGGAAGTATTTGAAACCTTTGAAGTTTACAATCCACCAGCATGCCTTTGAGAGCCCAGAGTCACATGAGACTTTTTAAAAAATCGGTCACAGTTAATTTAGCATGTTACGGGAAACTAATCTAGTTTGCAAGGGACATGTTTGTGTTTAAAAAGACTGTCTAACCAGAGATCATAAGCACATCCAAAGTAAACTTAAGCATTGTAAATAAAATAAAGGCAAACTTTCTAGCTTTCTATCAGGACTTTTGTCTTTTGTTCACTAATGGAACATGTGATCCAAATTTTAAAAGTTTTAAGCATTTCCTTTTGTCTTGGGCTAATAGCCATTAAAGAGCAACTATACTTTTCCCACCACGAAACTAATAGTTTCTATGTTTAACTGATGACTTTTCTGTTTTAATTAGTGTAACAAAATGGCATTTTTGAATGGTTTTTTTAATGTTTGTTTGGAGTTTTTTTTTTTTGGCAGAAACTAAGCTTAACGAGAACTAAGAACTAATGAGACAAAGTAAATAAATCCCACGTTAAGCTGAGAACAGAATGGAACAACACAAGCACAATATATAATATCTACTAATGTCAAAATTAAATTGCATTTTTCATTTTTCCAGATATTTTAAGGTAGTACCATATACGTTTTGAAATTTATCTTATATATTATATTAGACTGGTTACACAAAACATGTTACTCTCTAAAATCTTGGAAGTAGTCTATAAAACTGGGCTATGAACCACAGGTTTTCACAGTAGCCTGAAAATTCTGACAAATGAAATCCTACCCTGGAAAAACCTCTAAACTTTAAGATGTAACAGTTCCCCTCTCAAATTCAATACTATACATAAAATTCCAGAACTGAGGATACTTCAGAGGATAAGTTTTTCAGCTTAGAAAAACTCACTAACATACAATGAGCTAATTATGACTTTTATCTATTTGTTAAATAAACTGAACACACTTTTAACATACTAAAACATTCTACAATACTTGCTTAAGTTAAATCCACTTGCTCCATACAATTAAAAATTAAAATATATTTATTTTAATGTACATAATCAGATTGATATCTTACTGTACAGTGAAACCTTTTTAGAAAGCCACCAGTCAAAAAGAATAGTACTATGCAAGTGGAGAAAACACGAAATCACAGATAGTTTACTTAAATCAGGTTTTCCTATGCTACATTCATATTTAAAATATAAATGTATTCAACCACTTAAAGCACTAAGATAAAGAATCAACAAATGTTTGAAATGGAAGGGAGGGACCTTAGAACTCATCTAATCTAATGAACTCATTTATAGATGAGAAAACTGAGGATAGAGAAAATCACTGGTACTGAAGAAAACATGGGAAAAGTGACAGCTGGTTAGAAGCAAACATTTCTCCTGTATGTACAAAAAACACACTCAGGGGCCCAATTCTGCTCAGTATACTTTGCAGGACCATCACACACATCCTGCCCCCTATGCAAAGCTATGCCCTAGGGTTCTGTCCTGGGCCTTCTCTCTCTACACTCTCTCTTTTGGTCTATAAAATGTACATTTCTTTTTTTTTTTCTTTTTGGTGAGGCAATCGGGGTTAGGTGACTTGCCCAAGGGTCACACAGCTAGTAAGTGTCATGTGTCTGAGACTGGATTTGAACTCATCCTCCTGATTCCAAGGCCAGAGCTCTATCCACTGCACCATCCAGCTGCCCCTAAAATATACATTTTTTAAAGGCAAGGACTTACACTTTTGTATCCCCAGGCACAGTGCCTGGCACATATTAGGAGTTCAATGAATGTCTGATGAATTGCACCTTTGACTCCTCAAAGAATGGTTAATTATATTACTGCTGATATCCATCTCTAGGTTTTCAGAAACATTTATATTTTTAGGTATACCTTTTGGAAGCACTAACAAAAAATTATTTTAAAACACTTTAAAAACTAAGCAAACATTTGAGCTATTTCTTACTTTCATTAATTTTGGAATGACAAACCATTCTTTTGATTATATTTCATTAAAAATGAACATTTGAGATCAGGTTCCAAAACTGAAGTAGGTCAGGTAAAGTGAACCAGGCCTGAAAATCTGGTTAATTCACTTTGCTGTGTAAACTGTTAAGTAATGTGGCTTTTACCTACCCATTGCAGTTTTGTTACTATGAATGGCACAGAAAAATCAGACCAGACTGAATTTTTCAGAATCAGTTTTGGCTGATATACAGATAATGCCATATGAAAATTCTTCTAAAATATTTGTATTTAATCTTGTAAAAGCCAGCAGATAACACAGGAAAAGTTTAGAAACTCAAAAATACACAAACTATATGTATAGTATTGTATAATATCAACATATTTTATTTTTTAATACCATAATAATTCAGACTTCTTCTCTGACACAAAGAGAGGGCCAAAAAATTTTAGCAGATTTCCAGACTGTGAGGGCTCCATGCCCCTAACCCCCTCAATGTGGAAAGGATAACTGTACATTTTAAGAAAATTAAGTATCTTTCTACTTATGACATGAAAGAATACATTAAATTATCAAAACAGTTCAAGCCACTCACTTCATAGTTCTCTCTTATCCACAGCTTCAGCTCAAGAAAAGTTTCTTTTTGATGATCTTCTAAACTGTCAAACTGAGACTCTGACATTTTCATAAATTTACGGATGAGATATAGCCTCTCTTCTTCTCCATACTCTTGACCTTTGATATTAAAATGATAAATCCACCGGCAATACCAGACTATGTATGCACACAGGTGATAAGGAGCTAAAATAATTTGAAATAGTAGAATATCACATACTTTAGGTTTCTGGTAGCCTCCTTTTATATCTATTTTACTTTTTATAATGTTTTTGATGATGTTTTCTTCCTCCTCACGGATTTCTTCCTTGGATCTTCTGTTTTTGCCTTTTTCTTTGGCTTTGTTAAGCAGCCCCTGCTGCTTGGCAATTTCAGTAGCTTGAATACGATACTTTGGCACGGTAGCTAAGTAGTTGATGGCCTCATTATAGCTACTCCACCAGCTGAAAAACTACAAATATTTAATAAGGAAAACACAGTCACTTTTACTTGCAAATAAAGACTCCAAATTAAGCAACAAAAAGTTAGCCAGTAACCAAAACCACCCAACAACCATTCATCCATATTAAACAGAAACAGGCTTGCATATATGGGAAGACAAAATTAAGACTGATTTCAAATAGTCATGAAATGATATATGAACATTCAGTAGCAGCAACAGCTTACCTTGACATACTTTACAGTTACAAAAGCATTAACTGGCTTTCCCAAGTCATACACTTAAATAAGCGTCAGAGCTAAGACCTGAAACCAGGTTCTCTGACTTTAAGTCTGAAGTTCTTTTCACTATACCATACTGCTCCCCAGATAGTCTAGAGGAATACTATGTTAGTAGCAATAACAATAACAATAATAGCTAATATATAACCGTTAGCCTATTATATGCACCTTATTCCATTAGTTTCTTACAAAAGCTGTGTAAAGTGATCCCTGCTTCACAGATAAGAAACCAAAGGCTGACTCAGGGGTAGGGAACTTGTGGCCTTGAGGCCACTTGAGGCCTCCTAAGTCCTTGGGTGCAGTCTTTTGACCGAGTCCAAGTTTTACAGAATAAACCCTTTTATTAAGGGGATATGTTCTGTGAAGTTTGGATTCAGTCAAAGGGCCACACTTGAGGACGTAGATGTGGCCTCGAGGCTGCAGGTTCCCCACCCCAGAAGTAGGATTTGAACACAAGTTTCTCCTTACTCCAAATCCAGCACTCTTTCCACTACACTACACTTCCAGAGTTCTCTTTTATATCAAGGCTTCTCCTTTTCAAAGCATGGAAGAAAGAGGCTAAAAGGTAAAAAAGTACTAGATCTTCTCTAGCACACAACCAATTCCATTCCATGGTGATATGCAGTCTCCCTGAGGTTGAGATACTCTTTCAAAAATGTTCAACACAATCAACAGGCAGCTTTCACAAGGAGAAAGAGAAAAGAATATTCCAAATCACCAAGAGGAACACACATTTTAAACCGAGTGAATCCAAATCAAATCCATAGATTAGCAAAGATGACAAAATATGAAAATAACCACTGGGAGATGTGATGGAACCACAGACCCACTGGTGGAGTTATGAAGTCATCCTATTCTGGAGCACATCTGGAGATTATGCTATAAAAGTCACTATACATACTCCTTGGAAATATGTTTTACATGATTTCACATATATAATTGATATCGCATTGCTTGCCTTCTCAACAAATAGGAGAGGAGTTGGAGGGGAGAGAATTTGGAACTCAAAACAATTTTTAAAAAAGGCTAAAAAGAAATAAAATTGGGAAAAATATAAGGTATAAATAATATATAAAAGAGTATATGTGTATATACACACATACAAACACACAAAATCTTTCACCAGGAATATTACTCCTGGGCAAATACTTGCTCAAGGAAGTAAAAGGCACAGGAAAAGCCCTCATATATACAAAAATATTTATAGCCTCACTTTTTATAATAGCAAACAACTGGCAGAAAAGTGGATACTCCTGTTGGTGGAGTTGTGAACTGGTAAAACCATTCTGGAAAGTAATTTGGAACTATGCCCAAAGGGCTATAAAACTTCTCATTCAGCAATACCACTGTTAGGTCTACATCCCAAAGACATCAAAAAAGGGAAAAAAGATCTATTTTTACAAAAATATTTATATCAGCTCTTTTTGTGGTGGCTAAGAATTGGAAATCGAGGAGATATCCATCAATTTGGGGATGGCTAAACATGCTATGGTATACGATTGTAAGGGAATATTATTATACCATAAGAAATGACAAGCAGGATGATTTCAGAAAAACCTGGAAAGACTTATATGAACTGATACAAAGTGAAGTCAACAGAACCAGGAGAACGTTATACACAGTAACAGCAATATTTGTTCAATGAACAACTGTGAATGACTTAGCTATTCTCAGCAATACAATGATCCAAGACAATCCCAAAGGACTAATGATGAAGCATAGTATTCGCCTCCAGAGTAAGAACTGATATTGTTTGAATACAGATTGAAGCATGCTATTTTTCACTTTCTTTCGTTTTCTTTTATTCAAGTCCTCTTGTACAAAATGACTAATATAGAAATGTTTTACATGATTGTACACATATAACCTATATCTGCTTGCTTACTGTCTCAGGGAGGGAGGAAGGGGAAAGACAGAGGCATAGAATTTGGAACTCAAAACTTTTTAAAAGAACAAATGTTGAGAAATTATTTTAGTATGTAATTGGAGCGGAGTAATCAGAAGCAAACACTTCTGAGGAGAGACAGGGTCAAAAGAGAGAATGGAATAAATGGGGCAGGGGGAGGGCAGGATAGGATGAAGGGAAATATAGTCAGTTTTCTACAGCAACACTACTATGGAAGTATTTTGCATGCCTACACAAGTATAACCTGTATCAAGTTGTTTGCCTTCTCAATGAGGGTAGGTGGGGAGGGAGGAAGGGAGAAAATTTGGAACCCAAAGTTTTAAAAACAAATGTTAAAAAATTGTTTTCACATGCAACTAGGAAATAAAATATACAGGCAATGGGGTATAGAAATCTATCCTGCCCTACAGGAAAACAGAAGAGGAAGGAAACAAGAGAAGGGGGAGAGAGATAGAAGAGAGGGCAGATTAGGGGAAGGGGTATTCAGAATACACGCTGTCTTGGGTTTGGAGGAGGGGTGAGATGGGGAGAAAATTTGGAACTCAAAATCTTGTGGATGTGAATGTTAAAAACTAAAAATAAATAATGAATCAATAAAAATATGTAATTGGGGGAAAAAGAAAATACATAAATAAAAGCTTACAACAAAAAATAAAGAAAAGTGGGTGCTCAATGATGGGGTGGATGGAATCACTGAAAAATTGTGGTATATGAATGCACTGGAATATTACTACACAGTAATAAAAAACACAAAATTCTCCAACTTTGCTCCCATCCCTCCAATGTACTATGGAGTTCTCAATGACTACGTCAGGAGGACGCAAATGCTGAGAAGGCTTTGAGTATGGTTCCAGCAACAGAATGACTTGGCTATTAGCCTCGCCAATTACAGAGGCCCAGTATTATTAGTATTAGTATTCTTAGACTCACATTAGTATGCCAGTCACTTGGCAATGAAATTGTTTGTACATGAACAAAGAACAAAAAAAAAAATACAAAGTAGTCCTCAGTCTGATGTGGACCTAAGTGGGTTTCCAAAATGATGCCTGAGAGGTAGAAAAGGGGGCAGAAGGTTCTAACAATCACACAATTTTTAGACCATTTATAAATATTAACTTGGCATTTGGTACTCTAAATGTGAGATCCTTGTCCCAAATACCAACGAATGGACATCAACTGGAGAAAATAAACCACGTCCATCTTGACCTTCTTGCTATAAACAAAACAACAACAAATAGATGGAAGTTACAGTTAAGCAGTAGGATGGTTCACAGGTTCTTCCAAGAGAATCAAATAAAAGTGTTCACAGAGTTGATTTTATTATGTGTCCAAAGACAAAAAGAAACATTGTTCTGTGGGACATTTGATCATCTCATATTGCAGTGCTTCATGACAAATATTTGCAAAATGACCACTGTGAAAATCATTGCAGCATGTGCAGCAACATCTGTCAAAAATGAACTGCCAGGGAAATTTCTATGAAGAATTCTCTATTAAGACCCTCCAAATTAAATCAGCATATACTCTGATATTAAGTAACTTCAATGCAAAAGTGGGAATAAGTTAGGATATAAAGAAGTTTCAGGAACAAAGGACTAGACTACACAGATATTTTGCACCTATGCATCATCAAGATATTTTGTTGAAGAAGGAAATCTGGGGCAGCTAGGTGGCAAGGAGGATAGAGCACAAGGTCCTGGAGTCAGGAAGACCTGAGTTCAAAACTGACCTCAGACACATAACACTCACTAGCTGACCCTGGGCAACTCATTTAACCCCACTGCCTAGCACAAAAAAAAAAAAAAAAATAGGAAATCTACAGGCACTAGAAATGGTGAAAATCAAGTTACATCACAAACTTAAAATTGATTAAATTTTAACAAACAAAAGACTGATGGGTCAATCCCAAGTGAGCAGTTAAATTATGTGGCCAATTCGTTAGAGCAAAAATGACAAAGGTAGGCGGCCAAAATGAAAAAAAGGTTTATCGTGAAAATTTTTTAAACTCCATCCTGACCTATTTAGATACAGTACTGTTACGGAGGGAAAAAAGGACTGGCATCAATTATAGTGGTATAGTGGATAGAGCGCTGGCCCTGGAGTCAGGAGAATCTGAGTTCAAATCCAGCCTCAGACACTTTCTTTTCCCCGAATAATTTCTTTTAAAATTACGAATGAATTCTATTCAGAAGTAGTTACAAAAAATATAAGCAAAGTCAACAGTAAGCAAGGAAATCAAAAAGTCAAGTCTTTCAGGAAAAAAAAATCCTTTCTAACTTTTCCAGTTCTCTGAAGTACAAGAATTGGCCCACAAAACTTTCCTTATTTTTATCAGATATTCAACTTAAATGTCAATGTTAATGAATATTTCATACAAATAAGAAATAAATGGGCTCTAAATTTTGTTTAAATTCGAATACTTGCTTTCCCCAAATTGAAAGATTTATCATACAGCAAAGTAGAGTTGCAATTATATTCATGTATATCTTGCCTTAAAAACAGCACACTTCATGACTGATTTTTTTCCTGTGCTCAGAAGAAAATATTTTGATGCATTTAGAAAAAGGAGAAAAATGTTAAAGATTAAAATTATAATTCAAAAATCTCTGAGAAAGGCAAATATTTGTCTCAATATTATGAAATGAGCACCTTTTGGAGCACCAAAATGAGAACCATTTTCTCAAAGCAAATGGGCTTAGAAACTCTTGAAACCTCAAAACTTAAACTCCTTGACCTTCTGGTTAAAGACCCTAGTCTTTAACTTTGAAAGGCAACTTTCAATGGATTTACACAAAGCATGGCGGTGGAAGACTTTGTCTTGAAAGTGAATGGAAGAATGGCTTTTTGCAGTGTGGTAGATACTTTCAAAGCACTGAGAAGGCTATGCAGAGCTCCTGAAGAAAACATTCCAAACTGCAGTGTATAGAGGCTGCTAGCTATGGAAAGAGGAGATAATACACAGAAGAAACCAGAGACTGTTTTTCCACCATGATTAGGAAGAAGGAAACACTTCGTAGTTCTTAATGGAAAGAGAAAATTGAACCTTCTGAAGTCTAGAATTTGACTTTTAATCCAACCTGCTCATTTTACAGATGAGGAAGCTTAGAGACTCTTCTCTGTGCCAAAACAAAATAATATCTTGACTTGCAATGATGATAAATGCATCATTTAAAAAATGAAGGACCTAATAAGGAGATTTCTATTCAGAATGTGATTCTCACCAAAAGGGAGAAATTAGCTGTTGGGGTAGAATAGATAGGAATATTGGCTGGGGGGGGGGGGGAGTAAAAAGTACTTAGAAAAGTACAAGAAGAAAATGAAGGGAAATGAAGGCAAAATTGTAGTACCATAGAATGAAAATGGTATTAGGAGTAATAAGGCTTGGAATAAGCTGAGGCAAGTGAAGACAGCAAAAAGGGCAGGGTTTTTAGAAAAGCTTTGAGGGTAAGTATAAAATCTGAGTCACCTCTACTTAGGATAGATGAGAACCATGAGGGCTGATGGAGAGACCCTTATTCTGTTTTCAAGGAGAATAATTGTTTTGTTTTTTTGGCGGTTTTTTTTTTTTGACTAGAGAGAGCAAAAATGACTAACAGAGTTGATACCCAGAATAATGAGGCAATAAGGGAACATCCATTTGTCCTTGAGTTCAAGCCACCTGGACAACCTAACCTACATCCTGGAGTACCTAAAGAACTGAAAGGTTAGATTGCTACGCTATTATCAGTAATCTTTGAAAGATCAGAGAGAATGGAAGAGGATCACTGAGAACAGCACTAGAGAAAGGCAACTGTCTCAATTTTCAAAAAAGAGAAAGGAATGTAGCCTGCAGGAAAAAAAAATGGTCAATGAACTTGATTTTGATTCCTGGAAAAATTCCAGAATATACTTTTAGAAGGTTAATGATCAACTAGAAAAGGAAAGGTGATCACAGAGATGACAGGACAACTTCATAAAGATAAGGCCGTGACAGACTAATTTTCTTTCCTTTTTCAACATGGTTATTAAAGTCATAGATCAAAGAAATATAAAATATAATAATACAAGCAGATTTTGGCAAAAATATATTATAAAATTATAAAATTATTTTGGCAAAGCATATGGTAAAATTTCCTATTATTTTATGGAGAAGATGGAGCTAGAGAATAGTACATTTAGATGGATTCAGAACTGGTTGAAAGATCAGATCCAAAAAAAGTCATTAATGGCTCCATGTCAACTTGGGAGGATACTTCTAGTAGAGTGCCCCAGGTATCTGTACTAAGTGCTATGCTGCTTAAAATTTTTATTACTGATTTGGATAAAAGGATGGATGGCACCCTGATTCACCAATGTGCAGATGACACAAAGCAAAGAGGGCTAGCTAATGCACCAAATGACAGGCAGGATCCAAAGAGATCTAGACAAGGTATAACAAAATTTAATAGGGATTAATGGGGGAAATCTCATTTAGATTCAAAACATCAAAACATGAGAAGAGGGAGGCATGTATAGCTAGATCGCAGTTTGTCTGAAAAAGGTCTGAGGGTTTCAGGCAGGGGCACAATATGAAATCAAGAATATAATGTATCAAGAGTGATATATGATATATAGTATAGCATAGTATAGTATAGTATACACACAGCTTCCAGTAATAAAGTGGTGATAGTTCCACTGCATTCTGCTATGGTCAGACCACATTTAGAACTGAACTATATTCAATTCTCAAGTCCATATTTAAGTACACTGATAATCTAAAGATGTAGAAGGGCCCCAAGTTCATATCAATGATCATGTGATTTAAAAAAGAAAGAAAAACCTTGAGGATGTAAAATATGAAGAAGAAAAGATTGGGCAGGGTCAGGGAAGAGTCTGGCTGTAAGAATTTGAACATAATACTTAAAAAGCAGTCCAACTAGGATGACCTGTAATGAATAATGCTGGTCCTGGAAAACTGTTAAGGAATCATACCCGCCTATCAGTATGGAAGGTGGTATAAATTATCAGACACAGCCGCTGTGTTAGTTGGCTTTATTTCTTTTTTTTTTGTGACAAAGGGTTCAATAGGGTGGAGGGGGGAAGGGGATAAGAGCTTACGGGGAAATAAGTATAGTGTTAAAAAACAAACAAAAAAAATTTATAAGTAATAGCTACATTGAATTAGATAGCTGGATAACTGAAACTTTTTCCCCCCCACAAAGGCAAAACTTAATCTAAAATTGAATATAAAACTTTACTTAATTGTATACATAATTTACACCGGCACATCTGAGTCTATTCCAAAATGCAGACTCAATATAACAAAGAGTATCGTTTAAATGCTCAAAGAAAAAATGTACCTGAAACACGGAGATAGCACATACTGTGACTAAAATGACAATTCTGACATCCACTTTAGGAGCTAACCGCCTACTGTAGTAGTGATAATAATGGCTGTAGTACTCTTCAGGATGATCCAGCATATAATCATAATCTTTACGTGTTTCTTCATCCTACAAAATGCAAGATAAGACATTGTATCAATTCATATCTCCAACTGTCTAATATGTGAAATCTGGAACATTTCATAACCTGGTATGTGTTAATTTTCACTGGTACAACAAAATTGCTTTAGAATTTTAAAACTAAGCTTCTGTTATAATTAAGAATTTAAGCTATCAAGATTGGAAAACTTCTTTCCACAAAACCAAAGAACCTTCATCAATTATTTTTCATAAATGCTGAATATTAAATACTGGGAATAAGAAAATAAATATTCCCCTGGAATTCAACATTATTAACATAGGCTACACTTACTAATTTCTTTGAGGTATCATGAGCACTGGATTTGAACTCAGAAGACTAGGGTTCAAATCCCAACTATACTTTATTCATCCGTATCCCTCAGTAAAATGCATAGTGATTTTCATTTTTTATCTCCATAATAACACCAAATAATACATAGTAAGTGTTTACTAAAATCTGTTGAATGTCTCTGGGGCTACGGGACTGGATTGTTCTCACATCCAAGAGTGATCTATAAGGTCAATTTCACAGCCCAGTCCATCTTGCCCATATAATATACATTAGAACATGTAGTAGGTAAAATGACATTCTAAATGTTTGCAAATAAAGAAAAAATGTTTTAAGACTTTTAGAGATGCTTGTCAATTTCAAATAATAAAAGCAATGGGGAACTGTCCCAAGCTTGTATTGCATACCAGTTTGGAAATTATCAGACCCACATGTACAAAAGTATTTATAGCAGCTCTTATTGTGGTGGCAAGGAATTGGAAATTGAGGAGATGCCCATCAGTTGGGGAATGGCTGAACAAGTTGTGGTACATGAATGTAATGGAATACTATTGTTCCATAAGAAATGATGAGCAGGCAGACTTCAGAAAAACCAAGACTTGTGTGGTCTGATGTTTTGATGTTTTGAATCTAAATGAGATTTCCCCCATTAATCCCTATGAAATGAGCAGAACCAAGAGAATGTTGTACACAGTAACAGCCACATTGTGCAACGACTAACTTTGATAGACTTAGCTCTTCTCAGCAATGCAAGGATCTAAGACATCTCCAAAAGACTCATGATGGAAAATGCTATCCACATCCAGAGAAAGAACTATGAAGCCTGAATGCATATTAAAGCATACTATTTGCTTTTTTTTTTTCTTCCATTTTGTTTTGTTTCTTCCTTTTTGTGGTTCCTCCTATTGGTTCTAATTCTTCTTTACAACATGACTAATGTGAAAATATGTTTAACAGGAATGTGTATGTAGAGCCTACATCAGATTGCATACTATCTTGGGGAGGGAGGTGAGAAGGAAGGGGGAGAAAATTTAAAACTCAAAAGCTTATGGAAGTGATTGTTGAAAACTAAAAATAAATAAATTAATTTAAAAAGGGGAAAAAAACACTCATGATGGAAAATGCTAACCACATCCAGAGAAGAACTGATAGAGTCTGAATGCAGATCAAAGCATATTATTATTTTTATATTATATTTATATTATACTGTTATATATTATTTCTACTTTTTTGTGACTTTCTTCTTTTGGTTGGTTTCTTCTTTCACAACATGACTAATATGGAAATATGGTTTACACGATTGCACATATATAACCTGTATCAAATTGTTTACGGTCTTAAGGGAGAAGTGAGGGAGGGAGAAAATTTGGAACTCAAAATTAAAAAAAAAAAAAGAAAGAAAGAAAGAAAATTGTCAGTAACAGGTTCCAAAGACTGGTTTTTGTCCTTCAGCTAATTTCTTTCTCAACTTATTCACTGGCTTACAAAACTTTCAGGATAAAGATGCAAAAAAAAAAATCTACTATTGTAAATATTTAAAAAGATTAAGTAAACAAGTAAAAAGTACCTTATTTTATGGCTCCCTGCCTTCAGATTGAGACAAATAAGTCTTTAATGCAAAGTTGGGCATAGAAGAGGATGATGTTGGAAAATGTGGTTGAGGAAACTCTGAAACCATGTAAAAATGCAGGGAATTTTTTGGTGGAGAGGAAAGGGAATTCTGGGGGTAAACATACAAGTACTTTTTTTGTGTGGTCTTTGCAATTACAAAGCCCCTCTGCTAGTTTAGAAATGTAAGAATGTAGAGCTTATTATATGAGCGAACCAAATTAAAATGTCTAGTATCTTACAAGAGAGACGGGGTAGTATAATGAACAGGGTCAAAAAAAGATACAAGTACCAGCTTTGACATTTATGTGTACTCTGTGACCTTGGGCAAATCATTTAACCTTTCAGTGTCCCTCAGTAACTAAGTCTCCACTGGTAGAGGAAATTTCCTCTTCAGGAGTTTGAATGATGAAATCACCAGTACAATTAAAATTATTTATAAAAGTATAATAGGGGCAGCTAGGTGGCGCAACGTATAGAGCTCTGGCCTTGGAGTCAGAAGGATCCGAGTTCAAATCCAGCCCAGACACATAATACTTACTAGCTGTGTGACTCTGGGCAAGTCACTTAACCCCAACTGCCTCACAAAGAAAATAAAAATAAATAAAAATAAAGTATCATATATTTACAGAAAAAAAGGAATTATTGTTTGTGAAGCTACAGATAATAAATGAATGAATGAATAAAAAAAGTATCTATCACAGAAGTTTCATTCCAGTGCCTCACTGTGGCAATCCTGTGTTCTTGAAAGGTAAATCTTTGAGTGCGATCCCAGTGACAGAAGAAGCAGCTTCTCAGCATACCGAGAGGCTCAATCACCACTAGGCAACTATGGGATGAATTCTTTGGCCAAGGAGGGTCCCTAAACAAATAATTTTTTAATGGTCCTCACTGCTAAACACCCCACTCTGCTTCTGCAGTGATCATGGCAGAGTAGTAAAAAAAGGGACAGGAGGTATGGCAAGGATCACACAATTTTTAAGCTCTTAAAAATATTTACTTACTATGGTAATACAGAATCATAAATTTATAATTTATAATCATAAAAAATAAATCATAAAACATAATAATAGATTTAGAGCTGAAATGGATCTTAGAAACCATCAAGTCCAACCTCCTCATTTTATAAATGAGGAAACCACAACTACTAAGTGTGTGAAAAGGCTTTTGAACCCAAGATATTTGTGTGTCTTTATAGAAAGGTCCATCTATCCCATTATGGAAAGGTCTATCCCAGTCTCAATTCAATGTAGTTTGGTGATCTGGTAATTAACTGCATCATTCCATTTGGTTCAAGGATGTAATAGTGATGCTCTCCATTAGTGTTCCTTCATGCTAAATGAATTAGTGCTAACCAAGCCAGTACACTTTAGAGTCATTAATGAAGAGATCTAGTTGGGGAAATGGGAGAAAATGCTCAAGGCAACACAATAAATACAGAATAAAATATGGATTTCCAGATTTAAACCCAATATATTAACAGTCCAAATAAAAACCATTGTCTTAACATAAAATAACATCAAAGGGGAAAAAGGGGTGTATGACACACTAAAAATCCTTACTTTAGGCTATTTCTAGACACAGCACTGGCAGAGGTGCTTTCATGTCCATGTCAAAAAAGTATCTCCCGTACTCTCTACCTGATCTACCTAAGGTCATTTTGCTGGGGATACTCTTTACTAACAGGTATTTCCACTGCCTTTGTATACTTGGCCAAATTTTTCTCTACTTTAACGTTAGGAAAACATGTCACTAAACGATTTAATAAATATTTACCTACTATTCCCTGCCACAGATTCTTGGGAACCATTTTATCCCTAGATACAACTTCATCCCCCAAGTGGTCACCATTCAAGAAAACTCTCCCTTTCCAACCCCTAAAGCTGGATTTAAAACAAAACAAAACAAAAACATCAATTCCCAATAATATTTATTGAAACCAACATTCTACCACACAAAGTACAGTGATTTCCTTGCTATTTAAAGTACAACCGTGAAAATAGGTAGTACAACTACTACTATCGCCAATTTATAGATAAGGAAACCGGGGTTCAAAAAGTCCTGGGATCACAGGAAGTGATCAAGACAAGGCTTAATAACGTTTATGAGCTTGTCACCAGGATTTCAAAGAATCTGAGAGTTGGAAGGGACCTTGCAGACTGTCTAGTCCTGAATCCCTAGGTCTGCCCCTTGCTAACCGGTTCTTTAGGCAAGGCATCTAGTCTCCTTATTTTATAGGTGGAGAAACTTTGTTCTGCTAAGTTCCCTAAAGTCACACAGATAGTAAGTGCCAGGGCTGAAAATCTAGTCAAGTCTCAAGTCAAGCCAAGAAGTCATTTGTTAAGCTTACTACGTGCCAGGCACTGAGTTGGAGGCAGCGGGGTAGCTCAGGAGATAGATATTCGGGCTGGAGTCAGGTAAGACCCCAGTTCAAATCCAGCCTCAGACACTTATTCGCTGTGTGACCCTGAGCAAGCCACGTAGCCTGTTCTCCACTGGAGAAGGAAATGACAAATTACGCCAGCATTTTTGCCAAGAAAACCCCACAGACAGTACTGGCCTGCTACGATCCACGGGGTCAATAAGAGTCGGACACTGAACGACTGAACAACAAAATGTGCCAGGCACTGTGCTAACCCGCTGGGTATAAAAAAGAAAGGCAAAAAAGGTGGTGCCTGCTATAAAGGATTTCAGTCTAATGGGGGAAAGACAACTTGCAAACAACCATGTATAAACCAGATTTATTCAGAATAAACTGCAGATAATCTTAGAGGGAAGGCACTGGCCGATCTTCCGAGGTCCCTGTTAGTTCCCCGGCGACAAGTCTGGATAGACCAGCTCCAGCTCCTCTGGACTCTTTCTACTGCCCCGGTTAAATCCCAGATTATTTCTGTCTCGGAATCGATGACCTAATGAACCCCTCCATTTTTCAGAGAAGGAGACTGAGGTGGGAAGTGCCCAGGATTCTCTGCACCGGCCCAGGACCAGCGGGGCAGGCGAGGCGCCGGCGCCGGCGGCGAAGAGTTCCGGTGCACCCGGCGGCTCCGCCGCGGCCCCGCCCCCGCCTCGGCTCACCTTCAGGGTCTCGTAGGCAGTGGCCACCAGCAGGAAGGCCTCCTGCGCGCTCTCGAGGCTCTCGCTATCGGCGCCCTCGCGCCGCACAAGGTCCGGGTGGTGGCGGCGCGCGAGCTGCCGGTAGGCACGGGCGATCTCTGCCTTGCCCGCTTTGCGGCTCACCCCGAGCACGTCGTAGCAGTTGTGCGAGCCGCAGTAGAGCCCCTCTACTAGCGCCCCGGCCCGGCCCGACAGCAGCAGCAGCGGCAGCAGCAGCAGCAGCAGCCACTGCCGGCTCCCCGCCCCAGGCCAAGCGGCGAGCGGGGGAGGCAGGCGGCTGGAGCAGCAGGGCCCGCTCCCTTCATCCCAACGCCCGCCGCCCTGTCCGGCGGGCGCCGCCGCCACCATCGCTGGCTTTCACAGCCCCGACTGGCTCCTGGCTCATCGCGCCCCTTATACGCCAGTAGCCACCGCCTCCATCGCAGGCTCTCACAGCCCCGCCTTGGCTCCGGGCTCTGCGCTTCCTTTATACGTCAGCAGCCCCGGCGGAAGGGGGGGGAGGTGGAGAAGGAGACACGTGGCGGGGCGGGACTTCCATGTCTTTAGCAACGGTTGCTAGGGGAGGAAAAACTTATTACCTCGCCCCTCCCTCACCCGTTACACTCTTTGAGGGCTGTTCTTGGACTATGAAGTGGTGTAATGACACCCTTACCCTGCCAGCTTTCTGGATTAGGGGGAGGGACTTTTAAAGCCTTTAACAATCTGGCCCCCTCCGCTTTCTAGTCTTTTTGCACCTTATTCTCCACACACGTACTATGCAATTTAGGCTGTTCCACGTGGCACGCTCCATCTCCCCACTCTGGGCATTTTCCCAGGTCGTGCCCCATGCCTGAACTACCCTCCTCATCTCCGCTTCCTGGCTTTCCTGGCTTCAAGGCCAGGCTAAAATTCCATATTCTACAAGAAGCCTTTCCTGATCTCCCTGGATGCTAGTTCCTTCCCAATGTTGATTTTTATCTCCATTTATTCATATATCTTTTGTTTTTTACATATTTGTTAGCATCTTGTCCCAATCAATAAACTTTTTTTTTTTTTTATGAGTTAGGCAATGGGGTTAAGTGACTTGCCAGGGTCACACAGCTAGTAAGTGTTATGTGTCTGAGGCCGCATTTGAACTCAGGTCCTCCTGAATCCAGGGCCGGTGCTCTATCCACCTAGCTGCCCCACAATCAGTAAACATTTTAAACAATAAACATTTATTAGTCGCCTACTATTTGGGCAGCTAAGTGGGGCAGAGTGCTAGGTCTGGAGTCAGAAGACTTTGCTGAGTTCAATTCCGGCCTCAGACACTAGCTGTGTGACTCTGGGCAAGGCACTTAACCCTATTTGCCTCAATTTCCTCATCTGTAAAATGAGCTAGAGAACGGATTGGCAAACCACTTCAGTATCTTTGCCAAGAAAAACCCAAATGGGGTCAGGAAGAGTCAGACACAACTAAAACGACTCAACATGTGCTAAGTGCTGGGGATAAAAAAAAAAAGAGGCAAAAGATAGTCCCTGCCCTCAAGGAGTTTATAAATCTAGTGGGGGAGACAAAAGGTAAACACATATATACAAAGCAAACTATATACAGGATAAATAGCAAGTAATTAAAAGAATGAAGGCACTGGAATTAAGAGGGTTTGGGAAGGCTTCTTGTAGAAAGTGGGATTTTAGTTGGGACTAGATAATTTAGTGATCTTGACAGCATGGCTTGTTTGTTGACTTTCTTTAAATCCTCAGTTTAGCTCAGTGTCTAGCTAATAATAAGTACTTAATAAATACTTGTTGACTTGACTTAGAGAGTGCATTACCAGTCCTGTGATCCCCATATCCTTCCTCGGACACTAACTAGTGTGACACTGGGCAAGTCACTTAACTTTTCTTAAGCCTTGATTTCCTCATGTACAAAATGAGGGGGTTTACCCCACTGATTTCATTCCTCTTCTGGTGGTTCTCCTAACTCTCTGGGCTTTCTCTACAACGCCCCAAAAACCTCTTCACCTTGGAAGCTTACTCTGCCCCTGAACTTCCCACACTGGAAGTACCAGACCCTCTGGCCTCTCCCTCTGATTAGCTGGTTCCTCTGGAACTTCCATTTGAAGGAGGAGTCCCAGGCCAGCCACGTCTTCATTCATCTATAGGCTGCCCTCCTGACTCTCCCAGACTTTCTTCATAATACTTGATCATCTCTGCTCTTACCACCCCCAACTTTTCAGCTTCCTTTTATATGTTGTCACGTGCCCCCCCCCCCATCAGAATGTAAAGTTCTTGAGGGCAGAGACTTTCTTTCTGCTTGTTTTTGTATTCCCAGTGTCTGGCATATAGTAATCAATTAACAAATGCTTGTTACTTGACTTTCAAGATCCTTCTAGTTCTAAATCTATGATTCTTATGATCAACTTATTACCATATCAACAGTTTGGAACTGGCAGGGCAGAGAGGCGGGGGACTTCTAGGGCAGAATGCTGAAAAATTTTCAGATGATTGTCACTATATTATGGAGTTTTTGCCTTAAGTTTTTCTTTGTGACAAAAGCAGTATAATCTGGAAAGGAGTGGGGTTCTTCTATATTGTGACTAGGATGTAATGACAGAAAACATCGGTAAAATGTATTTTAGTAATAATAACTGTCATTTGCATACTATTTAACATATTTTACTTAAATATTTAACTTCATTTATTTTTCACAACAACCCTGTAAGAGGAGCAACACACTTCTCCTTGGCAAAATGGGCAGTAAAACCAAGGGAGGTGGTGCTGGGCCTAGACAGTTGATAAATCCCATACAAAACTGTCAATGGGAAGTACACTGACAAAATGACTTCTGACAAGTGTTACTGGTGTCTGGTATCAGCTGCTACCCTGGTGAAGTGACTAGCAATGAAGAAGATTGCCAAGAAATAAAAAAATCAAGAACTTTAAAAAAATTATTGATATCTTTTGTTTTTACATCATCTAAATTTCTCTTGGTATCCCTTCTTTTACCCTTCCCAGAAAGCCACTCCATAAAATGAATATTTTTAAAGAAAAAAAAATTAGCAAAATCAATCGCTACATCAAAAAAGTCTGAAAACACATACAATATTCATTCCTTTGGACTTCACTTCTGCAAAGGAGTGGAAGGCAGTATCTTCTCATATCTCTTCTTTCAAGCCATGCTTGGTCTTTTTGTAGTTCTTCAATATTCACTTCCAGTTATTTTGTGGTTGTCATTATTTTCATTTCTATTTTTGTAGTCATTGTATATATTGTTTTCTTGGCTTTGCTTTCTTCACTGTGCATCAGTTATATAGATCTTTTCATGCTTCTTTTCCATCATGAGTCCTTTGGAGTTGTCTTGGATCCTTTCTTTGCTAAGAAGAGAAGAGTCTATCAAAGTTAGTTATCACATATTGTAGCTGTTTCTGTGTACAATGTCCTCCTGGTTCTGCTCACTTCACTCAGCATCAGTTCATTCAAGTCTTTCCAGGTTTTTCTGAAGTCTGCCTGCTCCTCATTTCTTATAGCACAATAGTATTACATTCCATTCATATGCTACAACTTGTTCAGCCATTCCCCACCCTCAATTTCCAATTCTTTGCCACCACAGAAGGAGCTGCTATAAATACTTTTTACCTGTTGGTCCTTTTCCCATTTGTATGATCTCTTTGGGATATAGCCCTAGAAGTGCTATTGCTGGGTCAAAGGGTATGCACATTTTTATAGCCCTTTGGGCATAGTTCCAAATTGATCTGCAGAATGGTTGGATCAGTTCACAACTCCACCAACAATGCAGTAGTGTTCCAATTTTCCCACATCTTCTCCAACATTTATCATTTTCCTATTTCGTCATGTTAGCCAATCTGATAGGTGTGATGTGGTACCTCAGAGTTGTTTTCATTTGCATTTCTCTAATAGTGATTGAGAGCATTTTTTCATATGAATATAGATAATTTTAATTTCTTCATCTGAAATCTGCCTATTCATATCCTTTGACCATTTATCAATTGGGGAATGACTTGTATTCTTATAAATTTGACTCAGTTTTCCATATATTTTAGAAATTAGGCCTTTATCACAGATGCTGGATGTAAAAATTGTTTCCCAGCTTTCTGCTTCCCTCCTAATCTTGGTTGCAGTGGCTTTGTTTGTGCAAAAGCTTTTCAATTTAATGTAATCAAAATTATCCATTTTGCATTTCAAAATGTTCTCTATCCCTTCTTTGGTCATAAATTCTCCCATTCTCCATAAATCTGACAGGTAAACTATTCTTTGCTCTCTCAGTTTGCTTATACTATCCATCTTTATATCTAAATCGAGTATCCATTTTGATTTTATTTTGATATACAGCATAAGATGTTGGTCTATGCCTAGTTTTGCCATACTATTTTCTAGTTTTCCCAGAAGTTTTTGTCAAATAGTGAGTTCGTATCCCAGAAGGTGGAGTATTTGGGTTTATCAAACAGTAGATTACTATAGTCATTGACTACTACTTCTTGTGGACCTAACCTATTCCACTGATGCACCACTTTATTTCCTAACCAGTGTCAAGTAGTTTGGATGATTGCTGCTTTATAATACAATTTAAGATCTGGTATGGCTAGGCCACCTTCCCTCGCATTTCTTTTCATTAATTCCCTTGATATTCTGTACCTTTTATTTTTCCAGATGAATGTTATTATTTTTTCTAGCTCTATAAAATAATTTTTGGTAGTTTGATTGGTATGGCACTGAATAAGTAAATTAATTTAGGTAGAATTGTCATTTTTATTATATTAGCTCGGCCTATCCATGAGTAACTGATGTTTTTCCAGTTATTTAGATCTGATTTTATTTGTATGAAAAGTGTCTTGTAATTGTGTTCATATAGTTCCTGGATTTGTTTTGGCAGGTAGACTACTAAATATTTTATAATGTCTACAGTAACTTTAAATGGAATTTCTCTTTCTATCTCTTGCAGTTGGGCTTTGTTAATAATATATAGAAATGCTGATGATTTATGTGAGTTTATTTTATATTCTGCAACTTTGCTAAATTAGTTTATTATTTCAAGTAGTTTTTTGCTTGATTCCCTAGGATTCTCTAAGTATACCATCATATCATCTCCAAAGAGTGACAGCTTTGTTTCTTCTTTGCCTGTTCTAATTCCTTCAATTTCTATTTCTTTGCTTATTGTTAAAGTTAACGTATCTAGTATCATATTAAATAACAGTGGTGATAATGGACATCCTTGTTTCACGCCTGATCTTATTAGAAATTCTTCTAGCTTATCCCCCATTACATATAATGCTTGCTGATGGTTTTAGGTAGATGTTACTCGTCATTTTAAGGAAAACTATGCTCTCTAGTGTTTTTAATAAAAATAGGTGTTGTATTTTGTCAAAAACTTTTTCTGCAACTATTGAGATAATCATATGGTTTCTGTTAGATTTGTTGTTGATATAGCTAATTATGCTGATAGTTTTCCTAATATTGAA